CAACTTCGTTTGCCGTACCAATTTTGATTCCACAGGGCAAACATACATAGGACGTGTAGTACGTTACAGTGGCAGCGTACTACACATGATATCGTTATCGTTATCGTCCGATTTTCATTCTAAGGAGCACTTCACCTTAAGGCGCCGTATCTTCTTATTTTATGTTATCGTGTCTTCCACGGAGTCACACTCTATTTCGGAAAACGAGAAGAGCGTCGAGTGCAGACCACACACCACAAGTGACGACGGCCAAGAAAAAAGAAAGAAAAAGCCACTTTTTCTTGGCCGTCGTCACTTGTGGTGTGTGTTCTGCACTCGACGCTCTTCTCGTTTTCCGAAATAGGAGGCACACTCGTCCAGCCTTCATATTTCTCGAACTTTATCGATTGATAAGGCCTAGGTAGCAGCTCCATCTCGTAGCCGGCGTGATCGCTTCCTTTGATATTTTGCACGGGAAGGGACAATTTCGTTGCAGAATGACATGGTGAGTAGTGAAAAAGGGATCACCGACAGTATCCAGAGAATAAGAGGTGGCAGCAGAGTGAAAATCGTGTCGAGGACGTGGTCGCATCAGTAAGACACCCCATCAGATCGGGGTCTTGATACGACCCCTCCTGCATTAAGCATTCAGTTGCAGCGCGGTTTAGTCGTGGGTCAGATTTGCCGAAACCCCGCTCGAAACCGTCGAAATCTACACTCTCGATGAAAAGGTTCCATTCCCCATTTCATAACCTTTGGAGCAGTATGTGGTAGGGTTAGATAGAGCTGGATTTGCTACTACCGGGCAATATTGAAATTGATCTAAAAGCTTTACACTCGAAGAGATAGGGTCTCTCAAATTTTGTCGAGGGAGCGTCGAGGATGCTGAATTTTCATGCGAGTTTTTGCGACTTAATTCGCTAGCAACCCTCGAAATGTGCCTAGAATAACTTCTCCCAACGTAAGCGACAAGAAAAGGGCAATCGTCATCGTCCGATCTCGTCTCAGTATAGGCCATGCATCCGACCTCCACTCAAGTTGTAGAATCTATTGAAAGGTGTTACACATATGATGACCTGTTGACAGAAACTGTATTGTAGTAAACACATTTCGTAACTCCTGTAACCTAAGGAACAGCTTCATTTGCCCATGGTCTTTCCAGAACTCTTGCCGTTTTTGCGACAGCTCCCTAACAACTGCGTCATTTCAACGAGGTATTAAGGGCGAGGAGCGGGCGATGGGTAGAGGCAGTGCTTTCTTAGGGCGTGTGCCCATGTGACACTGTTCCTTGAAAAGATGCACTTTCGATTTTTCTAGTACTTTTGAATACTTCCTTCTCAAAGGGAGAAGGACGGAGCGACTGAACTCGCAAGGAACGTATATCATGCTCTCTGCTGCGCTACACCCTCTCCCTCCCATATCCACCACG